AGCTGTCTCTTAGCCATATTATATGCGCGTGGGGCCGAGTTCCTGTGTGCCCTGTAATGGAGGCGTAAACACAAAACTTCAGTGCAGTTTTCATTTAAAATCAGAGCTTTGTTATGTCCAATTTTAGGGGTGTCGCGTTAATCTCGGTTTTATAGACTGGAGACACTACTTTTCCATTCAAGTAGCTTCTCAGTTATCTTCATGAGGCTGAGTGGACCCCCGTTCCACACCCACTACTTCTCACAAAATCTGGTAGCGTCGGGAATTGAACCCGGGAGCTCGGGGTCTGTAGCCAGGAACTCTAACCACTAGACCACAGAGGCGGTCACAGTCTTCGCCGACAAGCGGCGGTGCTCGGTCGGTATAGTTCGCTTGCGGACTAAAGCCACGGAGTTTGTGTTGCTTTGTTATATCTGTTGTGTAGTACGAAGCGCTGTAGATGCACATTCTCTTCATGGCAAGGTATGATCGGCCGGTAACACTCTACCCTTGCATTCGGGAGGCTCTTGGTTGAAATCCTGGCCGAAACACCGTTTGTCCTGACTGAGGTTTTCATGGTTTTTCTGAGCCGCTGTACACACAGGATAGCTACGGGCTGGAGGTCGGGGTGTTCGATTCCTGGCAGCTGCACTAGATTTTGCTCAACTGTACAACGTCAAGACTGGCTCTGAGACCCACCCAGCCTCCAACCCAATGTGTAAAAGGCACTTTTATGGGGGTAAAGTGGCCGGGACGTGAAATTGACCGCTCCATCTAATTCCGAGTTTAATGGTGGGGGGATATACCGCTACTCCCCCCCCTTAAGTCCTTATGGCGTGGATGGCGTGGTGCTGAATTAATGATGGATTTTTCAATTGACCTAATCCTTCCAGCCACACTATGGCCCTGGGGTCTACTCAGCCTGTAACAGAAATGAGTACCAGGAATCTTCCTGGGGGCGTAAAGGGCGGCCGACGGGTAAGGCTGACAACCCCACTGCCATCTGTGAGCCGATTGTCTAGAAAATGTGGGAGCCTCGACGTCTCACAGCCCTATGGTCTTCCACGGCCTGTTATAGGGATATCTTTACTTTTTTTTTAACCTCGGGCAACCAGTTGTGTCGGTATGATATTAATATCTAAAGTTTCGCAGTCGGTTTCCGCCTCCAGCATCAGATGTTGATGTGATGGATCTCGCTTCTACAGCCTGTATTTATGCCACAGGATATGTCAGCAGTACGCGTCCTGGGAGCCTCAACAACACGACATTGCTCTTCCTGTATTTGTTTCGGAGGCTCTGAGCTTTAAAGTTTCCTGCAGACATCTATGGCATGCATGCAGACTAAACAGGACATCGACAGACATGCGTACGTATAAGCAAGAACGAACAAATAAACCCGCTATTGTACTAATATTTGAAAACCTGAAATACTTTGCGCCGTTGACGTTAGATTTTGTTGGTTCACTGTTAAAATACGCGTGTCTGTAGTTCATACCCCCCCCCCCCCACGGTGCTTCTCTCTTGTACACAGTGTCAGACGCTGT